TATTGCGGTCTATGCAAACATGACTCCTTGTAAAAAAGGTGTCAGTTTTGTTGCCAGATAGAAGGGTAAAAAACCAATCATCAAACATTATATCATCTTACAAACAAAATGACTCGTACGTAGTAGCCAACAGTGCAAAATCGGACTCATGAGTGCCATTGGCCAAACACCCCAATATCGGACCAGAGCGCTTGGGAGAGATCGTTGGCACCGGTTTGGGCTATTTTCCCCCACGTGCATGTCTATGGCTTCCCGTACCTCCGTGCGAAAACTGTGCGCGTTTCTAACTCGACGGCGTTTTCAGATGCCATGTGCATGAATTTTGCAATCTAAAAAATTAACCCGTAAAAACTAAGTTTTTCACTATAAATCCTTTATATGCGTGGCATCGGTTTTATTTTATTATTCATTTCTGTTTTTCTTGAGTAAGAGTTTCATTTTTATCACATTGGTATTTTAAATTAAATATGAATTTTTTTTTTCCTAAAAAGTGGAAAATTTTGGGAAAAAAATTTCACGAAAATACATTGTCACGCACAACGAGTCTGTGTGCAAAATGTCAGCTCGATTGGATCACGGGAAGTGGGTTAAAACACGACCGAAAGATTTGCACGGTCGTAAGCGCGCAAGCAAGCAAGCAAGTGAACTTAACATAAAGGATTTAAAAATTGCGTGCACTGGCCGCGCGTTTGCGTGGGATTCACGTCTGGGGTGGCGCGCGGGGTGGGAGGGCTGTGACGTCAAGGCGACGCACGAACCTGGGCTCAACGCTGTGGGATGCGGGGTGACGTCATCGCGCAGACGTGCGCCGTGACGTCACCCGTGTGGCAGCCGGCCAGCCAGGCAGGCAGTAAAACTTTTTTTCCCAGCAACAATATATGATACGATTGTTACTTATTTAACGTTATAAATAAAATCATCTTTCATTCATTAAACTCTTGACTGTAAACATTTTTCAATCAAGCTTGCCTTGCAATTATAAGACAACAAAAAACAGTGACTCAACAACAAAATCCAATCGCAATGGGATCTGTCACTCTGCGAGTCTGCAGGACCAATGCTGCTTTCCAGCAGCATTTGTTCAAGCAGACAAACCTTGGACTGGCTTCAACTTTCTCAGTCTTATCCTCAGGGTGTAGACTTCATATAAACATACGGGTCACAATCGTACAGGTTTGTGACAAGTGCCGTGTATACAATTATACATTCACATTTAAACAGATTACAGAAACTATGAATACACCGGCAAGCTAAGTGGCGAGTTAGCCAAATAACACCGCTCACATTGCTTCATCATTGTTGCCGTGAATGGTGCGTATTGCCCTGCAGCAGTCTGGCCGAGAAGCAATCAACACAGTTGACAACGGAGTCCGGTAACTGCGGGGATCCTTGCACCGAATGAGCTGACACAACACACAATGTCCTATCGCGGACAAACAATGTCACGGAACATTATACGTGCGCACAAATTAGCCGGACAGCGGGCTTAGTTTTGCCGCCTATGGATCTTATCCGCCTCCCCCATGGAAGGCAGGAATGATTTTGACCTTAGTATCAGCTGTATCTCGTTACTGCACAGTCAGTTCCTGTAGGCCTGTGGGTCTATCGGAATTCGCACCGTGACAGCACAACTTTTCCACTTCCCTCCCCAACTTTCCATTTTCATTTCCAAAACGTGATTGTAACGGGAGCCAGCAAACCAAAAAATTTCGAAGCGACTTCCAGCTTAAGACGAGCAAAGGGGCAGCACTTGGCAAATGCTCGAAAACTTCACATTCCTACGACAGGTAGAGTCTACCGATGGGACACAACAACCGCCGACTACTCACAAAGTGGCACTCATTCTATTGAGCCCAAAATGATGAGAAGCAGAGTCGACCACTGACCAGGATTTGCGATCGCAATCTTCCAATCTTGAGCCGTGTGCTCGAGCCACGCTTCCATTGTGATACAAAATGGCCAAATCATGTGAAATGAACCACGATGACCGGCACAGGATTACAAGACAATGAAATCAGGCAGGTGTCCTCAGAGAACTGAGGATTAATAATTAATTAATCAGAATCCATGCTATTTAACTATCATTACAGATTACAACAAATTCCTACAGAAGCTAGTATCACAATTTTAACACAATGAGCGGATTAAACATACTTATGTATCAGTTTCCTTGGAGACCACTTCCTCCATCCTGACATCCTTTGTCATTGTGGGTGCTAATCAAGTAAAATATTCACATTTCCATGTAATATCAATGCTAAGGAACATCCTCGCCGACTTAACAAGACGTAATTTTTCAACAGGGTTTGGTTCAGCATAGTTTAATGACCAAATGCCTTTTTTCAATTAAACAAGATCATCGCTGTAGCTCTCTGGTGGGATTTTCTTCGGCAAAACGTCAGGCAAACGGCGCACGGTATGACCCAACCACCCCTCATCGCAGCGCTATACAGCCCAAACTGCTAAAAAACCTACGCAGCAGTAGAAGATTTTCTGGAGGTTTCATCTGCCACAGGGGCATACACCAATATGCTGCTGGCAATTATTACTTAGCACTGAAATCTCACTGATTTGAAACACAAAGAAAATCATGACAAATTGAAGCCAACGGCTGGGCTATCCATCTATGGAAAGCAAATCCATCGAAAAAACACCGCTCCACCAGCCAGCCATGGCACGTGACGCATCTGAAGCTAAAACAACTGCGTCTCCACAGCGCGGCTCATAGCGGCACCTAGAGGTGATGAATCACGCTCGGTTAAAAAGACACATCGTGTCCCACTAAAGGGCTACAGAAGAATAAAAACCATAAAACGTCATAAGATATCACACAATTTTCAGCTATAAAAAAGCAATTCTATAAATTCTCTATAAATCATCCAAACAAGGCTTGTAAAGTCATATCTCTGCTCGTGGCTTAATTTATGAGATACAGAATCAGAATCTTTATATATCATGGAGAAATCTCATGAGCTGTGAAGCTTTTTCACAGATGACCAATAGTTTTCACAGACGCAATTACGAGATACAAATGTATACGAGATGCAATTAGATGTCTGCTAAATCAGAGACGTAAACTGTTAACAAAGAATACGTTTTATTTAAATAAAAACAGACCGATTTCCACCGGCCTCTCCTTTCACACCTCTTTGTACTCCACCCCCCTCCCTCCCTCCCTTCGGTGGCCTCCGCTGGAGCACAGGGAGCTTTCGGTCAAAAACCCTCGGTCAACCTCTCGCTCAATGGGAGGTCACTCCTTCTCCGAGGCTGCCGAAAACCATCGGAAACGCCCTCAGCACTGGTCCTCCCCAACCGCCTCATACGCCACCCCCCTGTTAAAGCCCAGCTTTAGGACTCGCATCTTGTCCACTGCCGAGGACTGTTTCCAAATATCCTAATATCTTTTATGACGTCTCCTACCCACCCATAAGCCGGAGGGGTGGCCGGGCGGCTCAAGAGTTCAGAGCGCTCAGCTGGTACCAGGTGAGATCCTGGGTTCAAATCTCGATTTCAATCACCCACAATTAATAGCAGGGTCTCAATTGGAACAAGTTGATGGTTTCCACCTGGTTACTAATGACTGCACAATATTTAAGAAAGGCAGGGTGGCGAGACGTTCACTACCTCGTCTTGTATACAGGAGGACGTGGCTTCGATCTCAACCCTGGTGCCAGTATATTTTAAGTTTTCATGTTCTCCCCATTGTCGTGTGGATTTTTCACCGGGTTCTCCGGTTTGGCCCTTCACATTTAGAAACATGCGTCTCGAGCAGGGGTCCCCAACCCCCGGGCCGCGGACTGGTGCCGGCCCGTGGCCTGTTAGGAACCGGGCCGCACAGCAGCAGGAGGTGAGCGGTGAGTCCGCGCGTGGCCCTGCCCCCATTAGTTTATTTATCACCACTTCCGTACGTGCCTCTTTCCCGCACCGCGCACTTGTCTCAGTCACAGTTTTGGTAAGCCCACAAGCTTGCTAACCCCTAGTAGCCACAATGAGTAAAAAACAAACGTCGCTGGAGAGCTTCTTTGAAAAGGGGGAAAGACCCAATGATGACTCCCCCCCCCCCCCCTCCTCCGGTCAGTGAAAAAATTGTCTTCTACCAAACCGGTTCCTGGTGCTAAAAAGGTTGCGGACCGCTGGTCTAGAGTATTTGGCTGCGATGCATTTCCACATGATAAGCCACTTCGTTGAGCTAACATTTGTGGCCAAGGCGCTTCTGAAAAATAACTATACAGCTCAGTGGGCCTTACTTGGGGAAATAGTTTAGGTTGAGTTTTATTTTGTCTCATCAAAGTCAAACCAATATTCAAACAACCTCATAGTAGAGTACAATTCCTACTCTGTGCAAAGATAACGAACGGGTTAGCTTACCGCTCTACAGGGTTTCCAAAATAACCCTTTGTCTCGCGACGGAATGTCGAGAGCACAATGGGAATAACTTAGGAAAAGATCCAAAAAAACATGTGGTCGCATTTAAGCCGCATTATACAGTCATACGGTTTCGTGCTGTAGTGTAAAGGACACGGACACAAATTTGAGCTTATTCCTTTAGGAAATAATTTCATGGGAAACAAATGGAAACAATTAATGGTTCACATAAGTGAACACATACCAGTTGAGAAGACAAAATTATTGCATAGAGTTAATTATAATGAGCCCGAGCAGAAAATATCTGCAGCGATTTTTTTTTCTGTTTGCAGACAGGGAAGTGAAAAATTATCTGCAAGTCCAAAAAGTAAATAATTTACAACCATGCAAAATTAGATGTGAAAAAACACACATTTCTATTTGAGTGTTTAAATACATGTGCATAACATAACAAGTGTTTTCAGTTTCATTTTACCCAAGCACGAGAAACTCCTAGATTAGGAAACAAAAGATTGTGTGCGCGTGCGTGGAACGCGTGAAGCGGCGGCATGCTGGTGAGCGCACTGCGCGACAAAACCCGGCGATCAGAGTTCGATGCCCGGTCACACGCGATCGTTCACGCCAACAAGACTTGCCTGGCGAGGGCTCCGTATCGCCTTCCGTCTCGGTCTCTTCTCCGTCGACGTCCCCGTCCCGTGGATACCTTCCGCCGTTCTTCAGCAGCTCTGCGATGACGAAACGACATGGGGCTTCACACACACGTTCTAGAATGCTGCTACACTCATTGACAGAAACGATCATTCATACACACACGTGCTTATAGAATGCTGCGACACTCCTTGATAGGCACGACGATTCACACGCGCACACGTTCTAGACCGCCGTGGCTCACAGGCACGATAGTTTACACGCACACACACACACACATTCTAGAACACTGCGATATTAACGGACAGACACGATAATTCACAGGCACAAACATGTTATACAATGCTGCCACACTCTTTAATAGACACCATAATTCACACACATATGCTGTAGAACACTGCGAGACTCATCAGACATGATTAATCGCATGAGCGCACACACACACTACACGATCATCCCCAGGCATGCACGTTCTAGAATGACACAATGCTCTTGAACAGACACACGATCATTCACACGTGCGCAAATACACTTTCATAGTGTGTGGTAACGCACCCACAGCATTGTGAGATGCAATTAGTATGATTAGCACTATATAGGACTGAAATTATTATTAACATGTGATTTGCTGGCAAGAGTTGGGAGAACACCCAGATTACGTGAAACTCCTCACCACCGCGAGGCGGCTGCCAAATGGCGGTACAGCAAGTCAGATTGTGAGCCTTTGCAGAAGCGCGAGTGTTTTTCCAGGTATTCCAGTTTCCTCGCACACTCCCTTTATGGAACTGGCCACGTTACACCTTGCGGTACATAGACACACGTGCACATTGCGACAATTACTCTCCGGTATGCAGACACAAAAATCCCCCGTATAGCCCGAATAGACTGTTGGGGCCAGATCTGTTAGCGAGCACCTATGAAGGCCAGTACGGCACACTGTGGGGGTGGATGGCCAGCACCACGCCCCGCCGCCTTTGCTTCCCGAGTGGCGATGTTTACACACCGCACCAGGTACTTATTTAAGGCCGAGTCGACCTAGGGGAGGCCCAGGACCGGTTCAGTTAATCGGCACTAGTGTTCGCCATGAGTGGGAATCGGAATCGGGTCGCCGGGTTCGTAGCGCAGCGTGTAAACTGCTACACTACCGCTCCCCACTGTGCAGACACACACACACGGCTATAAATGTTTGGCATGCAGGAGAACACCAGCATGGCTAAGCTGTCATCTCCCAGCCAAACATAGCAGCCCAAGCCAACAACACCTAATATACCCAGGCAGTCCCTCAATCGGGCGCTAACCAGGTTCAGGCCTGCTTAGCTTCTGGGACCTAACGCAATTCGGGTACATTCAGGGTGACTCGGGTATGTGTACGGAATACCACACTTTCTCGAAACCGATCGCTGTGGTCCAATCATTTAAACTGGGTCCCACCACGGGAAGATGGAATTTTAACCACTGGATCAGAGCCATCAAAGCACACAGAGTTATGCCCCATTGTTCACTGTTGAGGCGGGAGACACTTGACTGAGCTGACTTGCCACCAAAGTTGGGAGCCATGAGCCGCCGCTGCTCCCATCGCAGTGTGGTATATGTGGCGGTGTGGGTGGCGGTGCAGGTGGGTGGCGGTGCAGGTGGGTGGCGGTGCATCTGGCGGTGTGGGTGGGAGGCGGTGCGAATGGGTGGCGTTGCGGGAGGCGTTGCGGGTGGCATTGCAGGTGGCATTGCAGGTGGCGGTGCGGGTGGCGTTGCGGGTGGCGTTGCGGGTGGCGTTGCGGGTGGCATTGCAGGTGGCATTGCAGGTGGCGGTGCGGGTGGCGTTGCGGGTGGCGTTGCGGGTGGCGTTGCGGGTGGCGTTGCGGGTGGCATTGCGGGTGGCGGTGCGGGTGGCATTGCGGGTGGCGGTGCGGGTGGCATTGCGGGTGGCGTTGCGGGTGGCGTTGCGGGTGGCGTTGCGGGTGGTGTTGCGGGTGGCATTGCGGGTGGCGGTGCGGGTGGCATTGCGGGTGGCATTGCGGGTGGCATTGCGGGTGGCGTTGCGGGTGGCGGTGCAGGTGGGTGGTGGTGCAGGTGGGTGGCGGTGTGGGTGAGAGGCGGTGCGGACGGGTGGCATTGTGGGTGGCGTTGCGGGTGGCGGTGTGGGTGCTGCATCCGTAGGTCCCCGGCCGTACCGTGCGCCTGAGCGAGCAGGTCGCGCGTGCGGTCGTTCTCCGTCGTCAGCTGCTCGATTCGGGTGAGGAGGGCGCTCTCGTGTGTCTCCATGGCGGCCAGACGTCGCTCCAGCTCCTCCTGCGACGACTCGTCCTTCAGCGCGGACTCGCACAGAGCGGCCTGCAGCACGAGGGAGGAAGTCGTCGTAGGGCAACAGAGACAATTCTACAGGCACAGTGGCGCAAGCCTCTGTCGTGCAGCTCCTGGGGGGCTCACGCATATTTGTGAAACTCCCAAAAAAGCTGCGCTGCGAGGTACTTGCTGACCCGTCCCTACTGGACATCTGTGAAAAAGAGCTTCATAGCTCATCGGATTCCTCCTGCAGTCTAAATACACATTCTGATAACATGAGGGGGGCAAGCATCAAGTGGGTTCGTGAACCCGTTCGTGTAGACCTTTGAGTAGTTACTCCCTCGTATTCTGGACGAGTCTTTTTTTTGCTCCATCTTCTCTGGTTTCCTCCCTCACGTAAAACACTCCTTAAAAATGCATTGGTCAAACAATACGCGTGCGCGAGAGCGTGCGCGAGAGCGTGCGTCACCTGCAACTGCTCCTCCAGCTGCGCGACACGCTGTGCCGCCCGCTCTCTCTGCAGCGCGAGCTCCTTGATCTCGGCCTGCGACGCCTCCTGCACGGCCTGGAGGTGCACCAGCTCCTCATCCGAGCAGCGCAACGCACACTGCAACAAAGACAAAAGATCCCACGTGAAGCCTTAAATGGGCCGCTGGGGCAAGTGCCGTTGGCGTGTCGCAACATGGCGCACGACGGGGGTGGCGTGGCCAGGACCGCGCCCAGCTGCCTGCGTCTCCTCAGCGGTGATGTCCATACACCGCACAAAATACTCATTTAAGCCCGAGTCGACCTAGGCAGAGGCCTCGGGGCAGTTCAGAGGTTCAGCGTAGGGGCGTGTGCGGTGGGAGCGCCAGCGAGCGCGATTGCACCTGCGCGCTGGCCAGCTTCTCGTGGGCCTCCACTTTGTCCTGCAGCGCCCGCCGCAGCGCCTCCTTGGCGGCCGTCTCGTACTGCCCCTTGTCGCACTGCAGCAGCTCCAGCTCCTTGCGGAGGACACTCGTCCGACAGAGTCTGCTGCGCACGCACAACAGGGGACGCGCGAGAGCGAGCGAGCGAGTGACGCCGGTGGTGCATGGGATAACCCCCCCCCCACCACACAACCACCACCCACCACCCATATAATAGCTGCGCTAGAGAGGTACACAGGAGTGAGCAGTATAGAGAGTGGGTTGGTGAACCCGTTTGTGTAGATCAGGGGTGTCCAAACTTTTTGCAAAGAGGGCCCACCATTTGATAAAGTGAAGATGCCCGGGGGGGCCAATAGTTCCTTTTGACATTGTTTTAACCACAAAAGTTACTTGGAAATACACACTGTTATAAAACAATTTTCATTGTCACAATTACCTCTATTTTTCAAATGACAATGTAACCAAATATAAGCCACTCAGGCAGACGGGAACAACTCTAAAAACGCAATTCTGCCTTTCATTCAGTCAGATAATATTGAACAAACTGTATAGAATACCTTAAATTTCCATCAGTTTTATGATGTATTTATTCTGACAGAGCTGGCGAGCCATAACTAACATGTTATAAGACCGAAGCTGTGGGCCGTATGAAATCTGCCCACGGGCCGTGATTGGCCCGCGGGCCGGACTTTGGACATGCCTGGTGTAGACCTTTGGGGTTGTTAACCCCTCGTATCCTTGACAAGTTTAGTTTTTTCTCCAGGTACTCCGGTTTCCTCCCGTATGCAAAGCACTCCTTAAAAAATTGATTGGATTAAACACCGCAATGCAGGAGGACCCCTGGGTTTGTGCGTATGCCACCTGCAGCTGCTCCTCCTTTAGCGTGAACAGAACGACGCGGCAAGAGTTGTTAGCGAGCACGTCGCTACTGGGCTGTAGGAGTGTAGGAATTCAGGGCCATGTTTGAAAAATTTGACGATCCACAATCGCTACGTCTTCTAGAAAGAAGGCTTCAGTTAAGAATAGTTGGATTTACCGGATGAAACAAGTTAATTATCAAATTCACTGTGCGACCAACTGTGGAGAGAAACTTTTATAAAAAGAAAAAAATTGTATTGGCAAGACCAATAACGGCCTCATATTGCAATTGTTGCTATTCTTTACGTCAACTGGATGTGCACCCAGGTCACGGGGCATTCTAATTTTGCATGTCGCCCCTCTCAACACTACGATGCCAACACACACTCGCATAGGCACATGGACAACGGGTTACCAATAAACACATCGTAGGAAGTAACTCGGCTTCTCAACATACACATGTATACAAGTCGAGTCCTTATTATTCTCCAATATGGAACCATTTTAACGGCCACTGCACTGAATCATGCCCTCTTTTTACAGTAGCACTCTGACTAAAACTGCCTGCAGATGTAGAAACCATCTGCAGGCAGCTTATTTGTCAAATAAATGCATCCAAATGCATTTATTTGACTAAGTGGTAGAGAGCCTTGATTGTGCCCGCAGTCAACCTTCCCTCGGTGGGAGGCCGATAATTCACCTCGGCTACCTCCAAGTCTGGGGCTCCCTTCCCCCAGCCACCCATGCTGTCGACTACCTGGCTGTATTCAAGTCCAGGGTTGAAAGGCCCTCCTTTTCTATCCCCCATCTCTCTCTACAAAGACAGATATGCCCCCCTGCCCTGTTTCTTGAGAAACGGCATCTTGAAATAACTGCATAACAGCACAGGCTTAATGTGAAAAGAGACAGGCGACAATAAGACTCACCTTGGAATAGGCCATGAGTCTGTTCTCCAGTGTCTCCAGACGGGATAGCAGCTTATCCTCAATGATGAGAGCCTGACACACAGAGGCAGATACGACGCTGCTACATTTAAAAATATCACTGCTAATGACAGCTTTACACACGGTGTTTCTTACATTTTAAGAGCACCAAGAATTGGTTACATTTGCAGCGACTGAATCGGAGACGCTAAGAGTTGGAGGCACTCTGTTTATGAACGCGCACCAACGGGGTAACACTCACAAATAATCCGTCTATAGTAGACGACGATTCCCAGTCAGGACAGCTGTTAGACCGCCTGACTGGCGACGCCGAGATGGTGAAGACGGAGACGACGGTGAAGACTCCAGCAGCAGCGCGACCGGGATCCCCCCCCACTCCACACGACAACAGCCCCGAGGTCCCCTCCAGGGACCCCTCTTATACTCTCAGCGTGGCCTGGCTCCGCCCCCGGACACACCCCCTTTCTAGAACCTACCGGCGGGTTCTTGTCGTGCCCCTTCCGTGACCTTTCCCCCCATAGATCCCCCTCTGGTGTGTCACGTGGCCTGCTGACGTCAGGGCTGCTGTAAGCTGCAGATCCCCTTCCCTTTCTAGAACCTACCAGCGAGTTCTTGGCGTGCCCCTTCCGTGACCTTTCCCCTTCGATCCCCCTCTGGTGTATCACGTGGCCTGCTGACGTCAGGGCTGCTGTAAGCCGCAGATCCCCTTCCCTGCCAGCAGCCAGCGCTATGCTGCCACATAGCTAATTCTATGTCACTACACATTTTTTGTTACGCAATAGATTTCACGAACTTATCCCTGCATTAATCTATGACCCATCATAATCGACCACGACAGTGCATAATGAGTTTTAACTATAATGTTATTGTGTTCATTGTTTATTTAAGCTTGCGAACGCAGGAAAGCCTCACCGAGTCTCAAGACTCTTTTTCAGGAGGTTCCTTTGTGTCTATGTATGTTGAACTAATCTGAGCTGCAGGGGAAGAACAACTAACCACAAGAAGCAGTTCTAAAGAAATTAGTTTTCATCTGACTGATTTAAAAGTGCATAGCCCCAGTGGCTTCCTAATATCGGAAGGAAGAGCATTCCAGACGGCCGCAGAAGTGCATCTGAAAGCATGCGATGCAGCGAAGTTTTCATGAAGGAGGGCGATATTGTTCGGTGCAATCCCAATCGAGTAGATCTACAGGTAAGCTATTACCATTGAGATGTCTTACCAACACCACTTACATTGCTTGTGTTTTTGTGGTAGTGTAGCGGTTAGCACGCTGCACTATGAACCTGGCGACCTGGGTTCGATTCCCGCTCACGGCTAACACCAGTGACGATTATCTGAACCGGTCATGGGCCTCCCCTAGGTCGACTCACCCTCAAATGAGTACCTGGTGCGGTGTGTAAACATCGCCACTGGGAAGACAAAGGCGGTAGGGCGTGGTGTTGGCCACCTACCCCCTCGTGTACCGTTGCGGCCTTCATAGGTGCTCGCTAACAGCACTTGCCCTTACAGTCTGTTAGGGCTATACGGGGGATCTTTGTTATCTTTGTTGTGTTTTCATTGCGAGGCCCAGTGAGGTCACGACACCACCGTGTCTCGCTGGGGTCAGGGCAACGTCGTTACCTGCCAGCCATCGTCGGACGCGCGCCGCGCACTCTGCAGCAGGGTCTGCAGCGCCGACAGCTTCTTGTGCAGGAGCTGCTCGCGATAGAGGGCCTCCTGCACACGCAGCGCCAACAGGATCGCAACAACTCCCAGTTGGACATTTACGGGTCGACCACAACCGTAACCACACACGGACCGAATGAGCACCGCTGTGAAGTTGATTTAAGAGCACGTGCGCAAATACAGAAGAAGAAAAATGTTACATTTCAGCCTCAAGTTGCGGGGCGCTACGGACCTGTAGGTAGTGGGACAGTTGGTGAAGGTCCTGCAGTTTGAATGTGGTGGAGTTTGCCTCCGGCTGTGAACACACACGGGAGGGGAGTATCACGCACGGTCAGCGCAAAATCAGGCAGCGCTCGCCAGTCAACACAAACCAGTCCGTGTCATCTCAGCCCCTGAAATGCATCGTCATATTCATCGTAATTGCAGTTGTCGTCATCATCATATTAGGTTTGTGGTTCAGGTGACCAAGTATGGTGGCAATAATGCACACCTGTAATACATCACCGTCGTATAATTCCCAATTCACAACAATGGGTTGTCAATCTGATTGGGATGAGTCACCAGTTCTATAAAGAGCCATAACATGAAAGAGAACACACACACTGAGGAATGACGTGGTGTCCCATAGGGAGCAGCACAGCCGATAAGTTTCTAACGCACCTCCGATTAGCACGGTTGGCTACGTACGGCGCGAAAGAAGTTCAACGTACATGACGGGCTACCTACAGAGTAGTGTTCCTTAGTTCTGTTCCCGTGGCTTCATTTGCATAAGAAGAGAAACGTATTCTTAGGTTTTTTCGGTAAAGTCACGTAGGTAAAAAAATGTATTTAATAAAAGTAAAATAAAACAAAATAAAAAATCACGACGTTTCGGAAGCAACACAAGCCTCCGTCTTCAGGTGGAACCGTCACAGCCACGACAGCTGTATCAAGTTAATGAGAGATCACAAGAAATACCACCCCGTATATATAATGGTTGAGGGGGGAAAGGCCAGGAACGGCACACTTTTTTATTAATATGGTAAGGTGAGGCTCAAGACTAAGAATAGACTGCATAACAAAGGACTGAGCCTTTGTTATGGAGAGGTGCGGTTTGTTACCTACGTGACTTTACCGAAAAAACCTAAGAATATCAATCCTTGCAGTCACGAAAGCTTCAAATCTAGAAAGAAGAGAAACGATTGGTAATCAGAAAAAGGTGGACTGTGGGGGGGGGAGGGCGTCTTGTGGACTGGAGTGCAGACAGACTGCTATTAAATAAGATACGCCGACTTCAATGCCTGCTTCATAGCCGTCTCTACACAATCGATTGGGGTGCACGTCCTTCTGCGAGTGCATAATTTAGGCAGCACTGATTCGGTACAAAAAAAAGTTTTGACATAATTCTATATTTGAAGCTTTCGTGACTGCAAGGATTCATACTCTTAGTTCTTTCGGTAAAGTCACGTACAGCGTCAAATCAGCAAATCAAACTATTACAACAAGATTGGTCTCTTTTTTGTGTTCGAGTTACATTTCAGTTTCTTCCCACATGTGTAAAAAAAACTCTAAGGAACAGGCCTCTGACATCCCAAACAGGACACCCTCCTCAAAATGAGCACTCAATGAGCAGCGAGCCTCTGCTGGGTAGAGGTGTGACACTTGTACACGATTCCAGGAGGTGCTTACCTTGACAGACACGCTGTCCACCCTGCGCACACAAAGAGAGAAAAAAACACAGAAACGATCAAAATATATCTCCATGAGAACTTTCTTGTCAGCTTCATCTCATGCAATTCAAAAACACTTACAAATGGCATTGTATTTGTAAACCTGCTGTGTTTATTGCATCAGTGTATCAAACATATGCACATAAATGAAAAAATCTAGCCACATGTAATGTACGTGTGGACTGCATGTGTTTGTGCACGAATGTGTGCGTGGTGTTTTGCACATCAAACTACAAACCCGGTGGCCTGGCTTTAATTCTAAACCATGAATAACATTGGTGACAATAGTGTTGAATTCTCTCCTCGCTCGCTCTGTGTGGAAGCTGGCTGACCTATCGCTTCACACGAAGCTCTGGGTGGGTGTCCTTGGCCACAACCATGAAAGCCAAAGGTGGATTTCTTTACAGGAACACCTGTGCCAGCTATAAACATTCATGCTGGCCACCCTAAGACCAATCCTGGATTAATTCTAGATTTTAAGCTTTCGTGACTGCAAGGATTCATATTCTTAGGTTTTTTCGGTAAAGTCACGTAGGTAAAAAAGAAAAATTAATAAAAGTAAAATAAAAATAAAATAAAATAAAAATCACGACGTTTCGAAGGCAACACAAGCTTCCGTCTTCAGGTGGAACCATCACAGCATGATAGCTGTATAACTGAAAAAACCTAAGAATATGAATCCTGGATTAAGCCAGGCTTTATCACGTGAGGGGCTCATATTCACTTGAAATATATGGGCACAATCCTGATAGGCAGCGTCTTCTGCGTAGATTGAGTTTGTTGGGTCAAGTAGCACACAAGCCCGTCCACTGCATGCCCAAGCAGCTTCTGTCTCGCTAGACCGAGGGAGTTAGTGTGGTACAATAGGACTAAGCCGAGGGGACGTGTCAACACACCGTAGAGGTGGTGTCAGAATTGGCCTCTGCGGAGTAAGGCTCATGTAGTACGCTACGGAGCAGTTATAGACAGCTGCCCTCGGCAACAACGGGGGGCAGTGGAACGACACTCCCAACAATGGGCAAGTAAACAGAACCGGGTGTCACAGTGGAAAGCACAGTTTGCCCCCATCTGCGAGTCATCACAGTCGGGTAACGCACAACACCTGGACCCGTCCTGCGAACCTCGCATAAGCGAGCCATCGACACGGCACGTGGCCACAAAGTGCACCGAGCCTCGTGCAAGTTGTGTGGTGACATCAGCGCGACTTGGTGTCGAAAAGTGGGGCTGTTGTTGTTGCAGTGGTATACGCTTACTCAGGCCTGTGTTTGTACTCCGTCCCATCTGGTAGTAGGAGCTTCACCATGGTGATAATGCAGCCGTGAGTGACTGCTCAGGAAGGGGTGGGGTGGGAGGCAAGGTCCCAAATGTGAGACAAACATCAAAGACAAAGATCCCCCGCATCGCCTTAACAGACTGTTACGGCAAGTGCTGTTACAAATCACTTATAAAGGCCGGCACGGCACACGAGGGAGTGGGTGGCCAACACCACACCCGGCCGCCTTTGGCGATGTTCACACATCGCACCAGGTACTCATTTGAAGCTGAGTCGACCTTAGAAAGCCCCAGGACCAGTTCATATTAATGGATTACATGCGATTCCTATACCCAGGAAATATGCATGTGACAATTAATTTCTTGTGATTTTGGCAAATTATGAGAAAATATCATTATTGTTATCCAGCTTGGTGGTGCAGCGACATTGAGCATGGCCTGCAGTCGGAAGGATGAGTTCAAATCCCGTTTGGGGATCGACTCAGCTTATCATCTATCCAGGGGTGATAAAATAAGTACCACTTTGTGGAGAGGTCAACAGTGGTCATCTTACGAAAACACCAATCCCCACCATAGACACGTGGAATTTCCACCACTAGCTCACAGCCCTAAATGGGAGATGGGTGAATCCCCATGCTCAACTGGACAGGAAACCACTGTTTTGACGTACAAATTATACACCTTAACAAAATGCTCCACATTTCGATTTAAAGCTTTCGTGACTGAAGGGATTCATCTTCTTGGTTCTTTCGGTAAAGTCACGTAGAAGGGAAATAATTAAATAACAACAACAAAAAGCATAAAATAACGCAAGCAGCTTGCAAGCAGCTTGCGTTGTGGCCGAAACGTCGTGAGAATTATTTTGTTATGTTTTATTTTTATTATTTTATTATTTCCCTTCTACGTGACTTTACGGAAAGAACCAAGAAGAAAAATGCTCCACACTAATCATAATAAACCAACCAACATTGCAGTCGGGCAGGTTCAAGGGCCATCTGGACCAACGTTCTATTGGACGCATTTGTTTAAGCAGCAAATCCCCCGAGCTGTTAAAACGTTGGAAGATATTACTGGCGAACACGCGTAACAAAAGCTATTAAATGCAAACGTTGCCTTTCAACCTGCGGGACAAATGAGACTGAGAAAACCATAGCGTAGAAAACAAGTCAAAGGAGACCAAAAAAAATACATTTACACTCAAACCAACGCATGCCAATTCATCGAATTGCTATTGGAGCAAATCATCACATGCCAGTGAATGGGGCCGTCAATAAATGACATCACACGATGATTTTTGACCCCCCCCCTCGTCACACAGCGTCACAAAAAGTCAGACCACCCCCTCAAATATGACGTCACAAAGCTCTGCCCCCCCCCCCCAAACCATATTTCCATTTTGAAAATAAAACATGCTTCAAATTGCTTTAAACTATTGTCATTGTAGTGTGTATTTAATGTTGCGCTGCACTCTGATGTTGTTGGAGAAAACATGTATTAAAAAGTCTATTTAATTAAGTAGAACGTGTTGTCTATATGTATTTAAAGTTGCGCATTTCTCAAACCCCCCCTCTCACACATCGTCCCAAATGTCTGACCCCCACCCCCAGGTGCGTGACGTCATTTATGGACGGCCCCTATGTGGATGCTTATTGCCAACGGCTTCAAGTGTTGGCCAAGCGCGATGCTGTTCCAGTTATTTGCAGGAGCCTTGTGCCACCTGGTGGACATTGCACACTCGTGAGGCTGATGACGAGTTCTTGGCTTCAGAGTCAATTGAAATAAGCCCGCCGAGACCAGATGTCTCTCTTTGCCACGGAGAACAGAGTAAAAATAAATGAATCACGCGGAAAACAGGTCCCAGAGTGCACGTAATTAAAAGCGAACTCATTAAAGGAAATGATGTAAAAACAACAACATCAAAGAGAATACAACGAATACAAAATAGCAATCAGGCGTAAACAAAATACACGTAACAATTTTAAAATATGTTTTAAAAGTATATATTTAAATGACATGCAAAGAAACATTTAAAAACGAATATAATATTTGAAAGAAATATTTCCATGTACTTCATGACATGCGGTCGCACTAAGATTAACCGCTTCTTTTGCGTGGGAAACTAAAAAATAATAATTAAGTTTCAACGTTTTTAGCATTCATTATTTAATAATAATACAATTTATAACGCGTGAAAATTTGCGGACGTAACAGCCGCAACTCAGAGGCGCCATGATTTTAGTTTTTTAAATGGTGTACTGGGAAATAACACAGGCGTACAATGAACTACTCTTGCAAAATAACATCCAGCATCTTTAATACCCACTCTCCAACACACACACACCACACCAGGAATAAAAACATTTATTGCGCTTGTTGACCCAGGAACATATCACCGAGTCTCAAGACGATTTCTCAAGAGGATCCTGCCAAGTTTTCATAGTCGGGGATGATGTTGCTGTGTGCAATGCCAATTGGGTAACTTGCAGACTATTTTTCATCATTGGGATGTTTGGTTCAACACTGTGTAATAAAGGACTCGACCACGATGTCTGGCTTGGTGTCCTTTATTCGGTTCTTCTCTCTTAACCCGCACGGCTGTCCTTCTATAAGACTCTATACTGACACTGATACTGCTCTCCTGCAGTTTCTCCCCTCGTCGTTCTCTCAGCCTCTCTCTCCTCTCGTCGCTCTCGTAGCCTCTCCCTCACACACAGCCTCGCCGGCTGTGTTCCCCGCAGCTCCTCGTCCGCCTTCTCTCCAGCCGCCCCACCGCTGTCTTCTCTCGCAGCTCCGCTGGCTGCTCCCTTAGCTGGCCACCGCTGGCCGCCGCTGCCACCCCTTGGCTTTGCCCACGTGGCCTTCCTCTGGTCCAGTCCCACTCGTTCTGCCTTCCTCTTCCGGTCTCCTCCCTTAAGAACCTTAACCTTTCCTCCCACGTCACCTAACTCCACCTCTCCGTGACGTCACATCCGGGAGGTCGCCCGCGCCCGCATTACACCACCCTCCCCCGTGGAGAAAAACCCAGCCGACCTCGGCTGAACAACACCAACAGTAATGCGGGCGAACCCGAGCGTAACACACCAAAGGACACCAAGCATGCAATATAACAGTAAGAACAATCAACACAACTCAACAATCAATAACGTAGCAGAAGCAGGCAATAAATACACAGTAAGAACAATACAACATAACAATCAACGAAACACAAGGGATTTAGAGCGTGTGCGGGTCGCCGGCCCGTCCTGGACGGTCGGCGGCCCATCCGCGGAACGGGAACGTGATTGAGTTTGAGGAGCGACAGGGTGAAATCCCCCTGTCGCTGTTGGAAGTCCACCAACGTCCCGTGTCCTTGAAGGATCAGTCTTGGGCTTGTCCCGCGGATGCGTCTGCAGCGGGGTCGGAAGGGCTGCAGGGCTCGAAGGACCCGCAGATCTGGCAGGCACCCTCCGAGCAGAGCGCCTCGTCCCCTCCGGTGTCAAGGCCGGCCTGCCTGGAACAGGTACGACAGGCGCTCTAGCAAGATCAATGGACGCAGGCGGGGGAGAGTCGGCAGCAACAGACCCCGGCAAGGCAACATTGGGAGATGATGCATCATGTAGGGGAGCAACATACGGTTTCAAGCGCGACGTGTGAACAAACCAGCGGCGAGAACCAATTTGAACACGCGCCGACTGAGGATTAGGAACCTCAATGAGGCGGACAGGCCCTCGCCAAGGTTTGTGAAATTTGGGAGAGGTACCCGGCCGCACCTGCGGGCAATGGAGCCAGGCCAGGTCCCCAACCTTCCAGGGGCACTCCCCTTTGGAACGCCGTGCGTACCTCTCATTTCGGGCCTGAGCTTTGGCCGTAGCCACACGGGCACTCTCCCGCGCCTCCGAGACCCGGCGAACAGTGTCCCGAATGTAGTCAGGAAGCGGTTTACAAGGTCCCCTCACACCGGTTCCCATCTGCACATCCATTGGCGGCACGTTTTCCCGACCATACATAAGGTAAAATGGCGAATAACCCGTAGCCGCATGAGGAGTCATCCTGTACGCCGAAAGCACCCCCGGGATGTGCAGGTCCCAATCCGATTGTTGCTCACTCACCGTGTGGCACAGCATGGCAGACAATGTCCGGTTTAGCCGCTCAACCATACCATCCGTTTGCGGATGGTATGGGGATGTCCGGACCTTCTTAGTCCCTAGGCCCGCGCATACTTCCGCCAATAATTTCGAAGAAAAATTTCGGCCCTGATCCGTAAGGAGTCTCTCCGGCGCACCCTTGTCCATAACATATCCGAACAAAAAGGCGTCGGAAATGGCCGCGGCCGATTGATCGGGCAACGGCCAGGCCATCGGCCAACGGGAGAGGTACTCAACCCCGACCAGCAAATATTTATTACCCCTCGCCGAAGGTGGGAAAGGTCCCAAAATGTCCAGTGCCACCAATTCATTGACCCGAGACACCCGAATTGACTGTAAGGGTGGCACATAAGGATGTTTAGGAGGCTTACGCCGGGCACAGTCAGGGCACGCGCGGACGTGCCCCACGACATCCGTCGACATGCCGTGCCAAAAATAATGACGTTGCAACGTCAACAAGGTCTTCTGCACACCCAGATGTAATAGCGTGTCACAATGGAGAGTTCTAATCAACTCGTATCGGAGGGACGCAGGCACCACTAGACGCCAGTGTTCCTGGAGACTTTCCCTCCACATAAGCAGACCATCTCGGACCGCGGTTTCCGGCGCACCCTCCGTAACCGGACCCCCAACCTCCACTTTGGATCGCTTCCGCAAGGACACTAACGACTCATCCATCATTTGCTCCCTTATCCAAACAGACCGTGGCAGATTCAAAACCCCATCAGTCGGCCCCGGTTCCACAGTAGCATCCGACTTCTCCACAGCCAATACCACCGGCTGAGGGGGGGGTAGGCTGGGCGCACATCTCTGCGTCCCCGACGCACATTTGCAAGGGGAGCGCTGCGGCAACCTAGAAAGTGCGTCTGCGTTCGCATGGCGCACCCCTTTACGATGGTGAATTTGAAATGAAAATTCTTGCAGCGTGTCCAACCAACGCGACAGCTGGCCGGAAGGTTGATCCATTTTAAGGGCATATTGCAAGGCCGCATGATCCGTACGTACGATAAAGGAACGGCCGTACAGGTACGGTCGAAACTGACGTAGGAAAAAAACAACGGCTAAGAGTTCCCTGCGAGTGACACAGTAGCGTGTTTCCGCGGGCGACAGGACCCGGCTACCATACGCAACGACGCGCTCTACGCCCCCTTTAGACTGAGACAACACCGCGCCAATACCTGTGTCGCTCGCATCCGTATCAAGAATGAACGGTTGATTGAAATCCGGAAAATCCAATGTTGGGGCGGTAGCCAACAGATTACGCAGACTCTGAAAGGCCGCCTCTTCCGGCGGTCCCCACGCAAACTTACGTCCCTTACCCGTAAGGAGGTGCAAGGGCCTCGCGATGGTCGCAAAATTCGGTACAAATCTTCGATAATACGAGGCAAATCCCAGAAAGCGACGTACATCCCCCACGGTGACCGGAGTCGGCCAATCTCGGACGCACGCCGTTTTTTCCGGGTCCGTAGACACCCCCTCAGCACTCACGATGTGCCCCAAATAACGGACGGACCGTTGCAGTAGGTGACATTTCTTTGGTTTAAATTTCAAGTTCGCGGAGCGCATCCTCGCGAACACCGTCTCCAGCCGCCTTAAATGTTCATCAAATGTGCGGCTGAAGACGATGATATCGTCCAAATATATGAGACATGTCTCCCACTGCAACCCCGTCAAAACGAGTTCCATGAGCCTTTGAAATGTGGCAGGGGCCGCATTCAGCCCCATCGGAAGGCAGTTAAATTGAAACAACCCCTGCGGCGTACGGAATGCGGTCTTCTCCCGTGAGGGCTCGTCAAGGGGAAGCTGCCAAAATCCCGAAGAGAGGTCCAGTGTAGAGAAATACTTAGCCCCCGACAATGCGTCGAGGGAGTCGTCCATACGCGGCAGGGGATACGCATCTGCCACCGATATCTTATTCAATTTTCGAAAGTCAACACAGAATCGCAATTTGCCATCCTTTTTCTTAACCAAAACCACAGGCGCGCCCCATGGGCTGTTCGACGGCGATATAATATCCGCAGCCAACATATCCTCCACTGCCCCCCGAACGTGTTCTCGCTCGGCCGGACTCATTCGGTGCGAATTCAACCGAATAGGGGCAGCGTCGCCTGTAGCAATGTGATGGTGAAGCAATGAGGTGCGTCCCAAATCCAAATCATTGGAGCTGAACACATCGGAATACGTCAATAACAATTTATGAAGCGCACCCCGTTGATCCACAGACAGGGAAGAATTTCCGTCACATAAGCTAGCAATCCAGCGGTCATCCGAAGCCACAGGCTCGGAAACACCAGCAACCACTCCCTGGCTATGCGAACAATCGTGAGCCGTAAATGCCGTGGTGGCATGTGCCACAACCGTGCCGGCTGGGACACAGACATTTTCCGTACCCGCATTGAGCACCTGCAAAAACGGTAATTGATCTGGCCGGACGATGGTCTGCGCTCCGACCAGCGCCGATCCGGCCGTTATCGAGGCTGAAGGTGACAACAAGATCCCAACCGCTCCCAGCCGACCAGGCAGGGGCTTCCGATACCGCAGGGGAATAAGCATCTGTGAACCAGGTGGAATATCAACAGATGCCACGGATAGCGCCTGCACTTGTACGGCCGAAGCAGGTCGCCCCCAGGGCGACGGCAGAAACGAAATTTGACGGCCACCCGGCAGTTCAATACAATTCTCATTAATTTTGATCAAAATAGGCATCTTAGCCAGAAAATCAGTGCCCAATAAACAGGGAACTGCCAAGGATCTTGAAATCAACACAACGCCCGAGGCCGACACATCCCCAATAGATATTTTAGCGTCCACCTGGCCCACGATGCCCATACTACCCCCGTTCGCAGCGACGCACGACCCGTAAACCGGACGCACGGCCCCGGGTGGGATGCCTAACAGATGAAAAATGACATCCGAAATAATAGTCGCGGACGCCCCGGAATCGACCAAAATGCGCACGTCCACCCCTTGTATAGACCCCGGCACGGTGGACGAACCCGTAGCGGCCGCAACAACCCTCCGTGCCAATTTGCGCCACTGCGTCACAGAGCGACAAGGCCCCGTCGAAGGTCCCTCTTTAACAACAACACTATGACCGCACAACGAAGGTGATGGGTGAGGTGTAAAGCCTTGCCGGGTGTCTGGTGCGTGCCGACTTGCCTGTTTCGGTGGATCCTTGGGCGGCTTGGCCGGTAATGAGGCCTCCTGTTGTGGCGGACCCGGGATGCGGGCCCAGCAGTCCTTCGCGTAGTGGCCCTTCCGTCCGCAGCGGAAGCAATCGGCGTCGTTGCGCCGAAGCGCAGGCCTTGCATCGCGCCGCCCGCGTATCGGCGGTGCAGCACGAGAGGCCGGTCCACCGCGGCCTGACCATGGCACCGAGGCGGCCGTCAGCTCCTGAGGGCCCCGCTCATCCGGCACGTATACCGACTTCGTAGGGTCCCAACCCAGAGCGCCACCCTCCGCGACGGGCCCCCCTGTCCACGCCGTGACCTGTTTCCATCGTCGTAGGTTGAATTGTGCATCCAGACATTTCGCCGCCGCCCGGGAGGTGAGCTTCTCATGCCCGCACACCGGCATGGGAATCCCAAGATCCCGCGACAGCTCGAGCATCTTGCCCAAGATGAGAGGCTCGAGCAGGTCAGGTGTTGTATCTGGATACGCGGCCATAGCCAAATCAAGCACTGCACCCCTGTACGCCACAGGCGACTCCTCGGGCGCTCGTTGTCGTTGAGCGAATCGCCGATGCGCGTCGTCAGGTGGCTCGTAGGCGTCGGCCATTTCTTGAAAAACTCCATATAATGTCCTCTTCTTCTCGGCCTTAATGGAGCGAAAAAAACGAACAGATTCGTCGTCCAGAAGAGTCGGCAACACTTCCAAGGCCTCAGCATCGGTCCATCTCGCAGAACGGACCGCCGCTAAAAATCTGCAGGCGAAAGCGCTCCAGTCGCCCCCAATGGCGAATTCCTTGACCGTGGTGAGATGGCGACTCCGACTCCGCTTCACTCCGCCCTCCGCCGATGGTTCCTCCGGAGGCAAATTCAAAATGGCGTCGAATCGCGGCGTGGTCAAGATGGCGGATTCCCGCCGCGGCACGCGCAAGATGGCGGCCTCCTGCCGCGTGGCCCATGGCGCCGGGAGTGAAGAACCCGTGGCGGCCTGTGGAGCACTCTCCGCTCTCTCCGTCGCCGTGCTTGGGGTGACGAGATGACACAATTGGCCCAGGGCGTCCTTGAGAGTCTCCAGTTGCTCAGCCACCTGCAGCCATCGCCGATCAGCGTCTGATGGTGTCGGCGGCCCTGACACTGTGGCTACATCTTCCACTCCCGTCCTCGCACTCGTTTCAGCAGGGCTCTCCTCCACCACCCTGGCAGGATCCATGTTTGGAGGGAAGTCTTCGTCTTCGGACGAAGAAGCCGATGCCGGCGCTGGAACATTTTTCTTTCTCACTTGTTTCGACATGCCGTTGCACTTCCGACACCAATGTAATAAAGGACTCGACCACGATGTCTGGCTTGGTGTCCTTTATTCGGTTCTTCTCTCTTAACCCGCACGGCTGTCCTTCTATAAGACTCTATACTGACACTGATACTGCTCTCCTGCAGTTTCTCCCCTCGTCGTTCTCTCAGCCTCTCTCTCCTCTCGTCGCTCTCGTAGCCTCTCCCTCACACACAGCCTCGCCGGCTGTGTTCCCCGCAGCTCCTCGTCCGCCTTCTCTCCAGCCGCCCCACCGCTGTCTTCTCTCGCAGCTCCGCTGGCTGCTCCCTTAGCTGGCCACCGCTGGCCGCCGCTGCCACCCCTTGGCTTTGCCCACGTGGCCTTCCTCTGGTCCAGTCCCACTCGTTCTGCCTTCCTCTTCCGGTCTCCTCCCTTAAGAACCTTAACCTTTCCTCCCACGTCACCTAACTCCACCTCTCCGTGACGTCACATCCGGGAGGTCGCCCGCGCCCGCATTACAACTGTACCAATTAAATTTTGATTTAAAGCTTTCGTGACTGCAGGGATTCATCTTCTTGGTTCTTTCGGTAAAGTCACGTAGAAGGGAAATAATAAAATAATAAAAATAAAACATAATAAAATACAATTCTCACGACGTTTCGGCCACAACGCAAGCAGCCGTCCTCAGGTGAAGAACAGGGCTGTCTGAAAGACAGCGTCCGAATGACAGCCCTGTTCTTCCCCTGAGGACGGCTGCTTGCGTTGTGGCCGAAACGTCGTGAGAATTTTTTATTATGTTTTATTTTTATTATTTTATTATTTCCCTTCTGCGTGACTTTACCGAAAGAACCAAGAAGACTGTACCAATTCCAACGTATGCTTTTTTTAGGGTTGGAAGGAAAACAGAGAAACCCAGATACAAGCCATGCAAAACAGGGAGAGAACGCAGAAAACCACCCAAATCGGGAACCAAACCCAAACCCTTCTCACTGTGTGACCCACGACACATCACCCTCCCCTACCATCCACACTCATATACACTTAACCAGCAGGCATTGGAAACATGGACTCTGACCAAAAGGTCACACTGGCGGCGAGCCTTGCGACCGGTACGGTCCCCACTCCCACGCACCCCACCTCTCCTCCCCCACCGTCTCTCAGCGGTCGACGCCAACTCACCCTTGCGAGCGTTCTCCGTGACGTCGACGCCAAACTGCAGCACGTCCCCCGAGTAGAGCTGGTAGGGGGCGCTCTCCTCGCCGCTCTTGCCCAGCCGCTGCCCGTTCACGAACGTGCCGTTGCTGCTGCGCGTGTCCTGCAGCAGGAACTGGTGCGAGAGCGAGGGGTGGGAGGGAGAGTGGGATGAGAGCAGAGGTCGCAAACGGGTTTTGATTCCTTACCCGTACCCAGCCGCACCAGGGTCGCAAACGGGTACCCGTACCCTTACCCGGCCGGGTACGGGAAGCCAGGTATCGGGTAGGGTACGGGTATTGGGTACCCGGTTGCGACCTCTGGATGAGAGTTGAGAAGATGTTGCCGCCGTGTGGGGGTTTTCGCCGGCGTTGTTGTTCGGCACGACGTCCGACGTTTCGCCCCACGTGCTAGAAGCTTCTTTTCTGTTCAGTTGCCAAAGAAGCTTCTGGCACGTGGAGTGAAACGTCGGACAACGCGTGGTACGGCCCCCCAAGGCAAGTTGGAGACGTTGAGACGTATTCTTTCATTTATTTTCTATCTACAGCTCAAGGCAAACGTTTCCATTTGCCATTGCTTATCAATGTTACTATACCAGTTGTACACTGGATAATGTTAACATTGATGAATAATAAGCATGTAATGAAGAATACATTTACATCAATTCACGTAAAATTTTACCTTGCGATACCTACATCGATCCATGAGTGTGAACAGTGGCGATATAAACATTAATGCAACTGATATCTGGATCATGCGGCATTTGGACTATTTGGACACTTGAGACTAATGGCGTGAACACGACTGTACAATCGAGACGACAACAACGAGGAACTATACCAAAGAGATGGAAGAAGAGAGACTAAGGGAGTGGGGAGTTTTGAAGTGGATGTGTGGCTCAAGGGTGAGAGCACGGAGAAACCTGGGTGTGAATGTGGATTCCAGGCGCCCGTGATTAATATGGGTCCTCCAGTGTAACAAACACAAGGAGTTTCACCATTTTGTTTATCACTTCATTTGGCTACATTGAAGGCTCTAAGAATGAAAAACAAGTGCCTGACTGATACGCGATGATCATTCATCCTGAGCATGGCGTTTGAGAATATTCGCTCCGTATTGTGTGGCTGGAGAAAAAGCTCTCAGGAATAGTAACGTGATATCTTGTTCCATAGGCTGCTCTCTAATGCATGCAAGCCTTTGGGTGGAGTTCCGCATATATAATTCTTCCCCTAATGAAGATGCGAAATCAGACTTTTTTTTAATTCCAGTTTTATTTCAATTTGCGCTATCGGGATAATGTCTTCATCCCGTGACACGATGCTGATAGCACGATTGAAATAAAACTTGAATTGAGACAATTCATCAACTCGCCCGGGAGGGAAACCTGTTACGTGTCAAATTGTTCCTCGATAAATCCAGCCACATGGTTTTGTGACAAGAGCACTTGGACACACAATCGAAAGGTTAAGAGTTCAAATCCCCATTAAGCGCCGACTCGTCATCTCTCCACACTCAATGAAATAAGTCCAACTTCATAGGAAAGTCACAAGCGGTCATTATATGAAGACTCTGGCTACTGCCATGGGAATGTGGAATTTCCACCACTGGCTCTGGGCTGCCAACAGAAATTAGTGCCGCCTTTTACAGATACGGCACTCAATAACACTGCACAATGGTGCCACTGCACAATTACCCCTCATTGCACACAGCCCACCACAGGCCATGGCACATGCTATGAAATTCAATGATGTCGTGGAGCAATCGTTGGCACGCGGCACTTGCGACCACAGAGTGGCAGTTGAAACAATGGTGCCAGTTTCTTAAATATCAGCCCCGCCTGTGTCCACCCAACAGTATAATTGGATGCGCCAGTCTACCGGCAGGTTGCGTGTGGCGGGGTAAGGTATAGTTACTCCCCGACCTATTACAAGAGGTCTTACCAGCATGGAAGAGGAAGTCAAAAAACTCTTTAGAGGGGCTCCCGAGGAGCTCTGTCAATGGGAGGCTCTTGTGCCAGTGGTGGCATGAGCAAGGCAATTCAGGGTTGTCCCTTTATACTTTGGCAAGTACACAAGACAGTGTCGAGAAATGCATTTTCTTTAGGATATTCTAATGATGAATATCAAGTACGATAAACTCGTGCCACCCATATAATCATGTCGGTGGCACCTTCACTTATTAATAAATGAGGTAGAAATTTGGACTATCATCACTGGCAGCACTTTAAGCATCAGCCAAGGTTAAAGGGCATCAAGACCCACATGACCATGGTGGCAACGGTGTGAACAGTAACATCATGGACGTGCAGCACGATGGGTTTGCGGAAGTAAAACAAAATGCGCGTGATTGCGTGGCTGCCTTATGGGGAGCGGTAGTGTGGCGGTTAGCGCGCTGCGCTATGAACCTGGCGACCCGGGTTCAATTCCCGCTCACGGCTAACACCAGTGACGATTATCTGAACCGGTCCTGGGCCTCCCCTAGGTCGACTCAGCCTTAAATGAGTACCTGGTGCGGTGTGTAAACATCGCCACTGGGGAGACAAAGGCGGTCGGGCGTGGTGTTGGCCACCTACCCCCTCGTGTGCCGTGCCGGCCTTCATAGGTGCTCGCTAACAGCACTTGCCCCTACAGTCTGTTAAGGCTATACGGGAGATCTTTGTCTTTGCCTTACTTAAAGCTCTCTTTTAATCGGCACGCTGTGTACAATGCTCGTAATTCCTATTAGCAGGCTACTGAAGAAACACGACGATCAGAATTGTACTGTTTAGAATCACCGAGTCGTTTAAATGTATTCCTTGAAACTCCAGTTTGGCAAAATGATGCCAATCGGCTGAGGGACGGTGGAGAAACCATCAGACAAATGATGAATAAATTAAAAATTGCACTTAAATTGCTCGCTCCAAGTGCTTTGAATTTGGGGTTAACTTTCGTGTGGTGAGCTTTGTGGGCCACAACAATCCTCAAGGCATCAACTTGGAAGCCGAAATTTAGTCAGGACGTGGAAGCAAGACAAATAGGTTGCTGATCAATCTCTGCGCATTTGTGATCATGATGTGCGTGTTAGCATGTAAACAGTCGTTCGCTTTCAGCACGCACATATATCCAGTCCCAGCAGTCACAAATATTTTGACTCTCGCAAATACTACAAAAAAATGACACAACAACAACAAAATCCAGCTTCGAATAGAATCGAAATGTGACCACGTCTGAAGAGGCAAGTGCGTCGAGGGGGGACTTGGAAGAAAGGGGAGATTGATTATTTCTGGACGTGGCTGGGGAATGCACGGTGAACTCCTCCGTGAATTCCTAGGCTTTTTCTTTAGCTCAGGTTTATTTTGTTTAACCAGGTGAGAATTCAAGAGTCCAGGAAAGTCTCATTTGTAAGTTGTGAACCGGAGCATTAGTCTGCCAGGAGGGTGCGATGTTTGATATGTAGATTCCTAATTGAGTCATTTGCCGGTAATTTTCGACTATGGCTAAGTTGGACCCTGACGATTCCACATGACAGCCTACTCTTGCGAATGACATCAGGGGATCTATTTTACTGGTAGGAACCTCCTGGTTACACCAGCCCACAGGGGATTGGTGTGTCCGTCGTGCAGGGAGGGGCTGGGTGGGGAGGGGAGGGGCTGGGTGGTGTCGGTGGGGCTGGGTGGGGAGGGGAGAGTGGGGAGGGGCTGTGTGGGGAGGGTGGGGCTGGGTGGGGGATGGGAGGGGTGGGGCTGGGTGGGGAGGGCCTGGTCACCCCGTGGTGCCCATATAAAACTCAATGTTTAACCTACTCACGCTGGCTTGTGCCCGCCCTCAGTCGGGCATATTTGCGGAATACACCACGCCGCCGTTGACCCTGGCCATTGACCGAGCAACCCAACGTTCCTACCAGCTCCCTCCGCAGGAATGTGTAACCTCCACTGCGAAGCAGACGGCATGTCGTAGTAGTAGTATGGCAATTCCACGTGCAGTAACAACCAGGGCGGCTGCTGGAGTCCTCCCATAAACCTCTGCAACAAGCGGTGAATGTGCCACAGCTGGGCTGTGTCACCACCCCAAGGTAACGTGCATCAATTCATCTCGAGATGTTGACCTTCATAAGCTCATAGCACACACCATCAAATTGCATGTGTAAGATTCAATCTTTTTTTGAAATTGGGTACGTTGCGAGCCCTGCAGCCACTAGAGGTGCTAACATCCAGTGACGTAAAACAAACATTCTCGAATTGAATTGTGATCTTGAATCGCAACATTTCACCGGGGAGGTGTAAAGAGTACATATTCCAAACACGCCAAGTAGGGCCCTCTGTACAAAGCAAGTTTTTCGACTCTGATTTTTCTAGACATAGAACCGTTGGCTAGTAACCAGTAGACTAGTGTAACTATTAACCTGGGAGAAGCAGTGGTAGCTCACCGCACGATGCACCCAGTCAGTCTGCCCCCCCCCCACCCCGTGCCTTTGGCAGACACTAATTAATTCGGAATCAATAAAAACCACAGCACTTGCAATAATTACTGTGGCACTTAACATTGCAACGGTGGACTCGTAATAGGCTCTGCTCGTCCGCAGTGAGCACTCTGAAAAATACTTTCTAGAGGTGACTGCGTGGACGAGGGGTCGGAGCACCGAGCCAGCATTGCTGAGATATTGGCTTTGGAACCGGGCAGCCACCGGTGATAAAACTGGGTTCTCGATTGTTGCAGACTTGATGGTGGTCTCAGCCCAGTCACCAATTAGTGCATACAAAAAAACAAATTATTTACGTATTACCTATATCTATTACGTATGAATTCATGCAACTTTCAAGGATATTCATACAAGACGTATATTTGATGGTACACCACTGTCTAAATATTCGGTCTGTTACGATTCACCTCTCCGATGGGTCGTTGCAAATCTAGGTCTCGGATGAATTCAAGAATTGATTCTCTCCTCTTACATTTCTGTGAACGTGGCAGCCTCTGGCTGCTGCAGGGGTGACTCTCTACTCTGCCCATACAGCATAGAGGCGCATCACAGCGCATCGATTCGCCACACACAATTTCTTACACGTGACCCAAGCGTCGTACACCTCCTGGCTTGACACATTCTTCCTCAAAAGAAACTGGTGGAACCATCAGAACACCAAAAGACTGCTGCGCCTCA